AGCCAGCTTTTTATGTGAAGCAGTAAATAGTTTAAGCTTTGCAAGCCATACTGTCTGTGTCACAGTGACTCAGCTCTGCTGTGGAAGCATGAAAGCAGATGTACATAATGCATAAAGGAACAGGCACAGCTGTGTTTCCATAAAACCACCACACTTACAAAATCAGGTGGAGGTCAGATTTGGCCATCGGGCTGTAATTTGCCAGTCCCTACTCTAGCAAAATGCTAGAGTCATTGTCGTTTTACCTGGATTCAGTGTAAATGATACACACAGAAATGTGATTTGAAGGTAAAAGTGCTACAGTAGTTAATATAATATAAAAATATAGAATTTAAAATGCTCCAAAATCTAAACCATTTTGAGCTCCAATGCACAAATTCCCACTCAGGTTAAACTGCCAAAGCTCAAGGGAGTTTTAACACTCAAAAATTCTCAGATTTCAGATTTTGGGGCTTAGAGATTCTCAACCAGTTATCCAGGTAAATATTCCAAAACCTGAAAATAATAAATCCAACACACTTCTAGGTCCTAAGTATTTTGGATATGGGATACTAAGTCTATAACTCAATCCAGTTACTCCCAATATATTTCCTAATTAAAGAACAAAACCATTCTCTACTTGATTCAAAACTAAACCCTACAATACACCCTATTAGATATCAGAAGTCCCAGAGAAATACCATCTCCAAAGCTATCCAATTACCAAGGCTGGCAGAGAACAGGTGGGCCCCTGTCTTGTGGGCATGTGAGCAGACTGAAGACCCAACCCCCTGGGAAGTCTGGAGAACCCAAGGTGAGGGCCTGGGAAGGAACAAGTCACTCTGTGAACAGAGAAGCTGAAAACACAATGATGAAGGAAGGCACCTAAGCCCATGGGGAAGGAAGGTCTAGATCAGCTGCTGGACTAAGAAGTCCTGGGCCCCTCTAATAACCGAGAGTTCATAGCACTTTATAGTTTACATAGTACCTTTCATAAAAGCTAAAATGAAAAATAGGACACAAACCAAGGAATGATCTGAGACACAGTGTTTGCAGCTCAAAGGCGGTACACCCAGATTAATAGAAATCCTTGTCTGTCCCCATCCGCCTGCCCACAATGGCCAAAGATGGCAAGATCAAAAACGGGATACAGTGAGGCCAACCCTGAACCCAGCTTCCTCCCTGCCCCCCCCCATTGCCCTAATCCTTCCTTTCTGCTCCTCTAATTCTTTAGCCTGTCCTTCCATTATTGTCCATTCTCTGCAGTTTACGTTTCTTTCAAATGCAAACAAATATAGGAAAAGTGGAATATCTACCCACACTCTGGACAGATTTATTAAGGAAATGTCACTAGGGTTCCA